CAACATGGGGGTTGAGCTCACAACCCTGAGGTCAGGGGTGACATGCTCTGCCAACCGAGTCAACTAGGTTCCCTGTGGAACATCTTTTTATGTGTTTATTTGTCATCCATATATCCTGTTTGGTGAGGACTCTATTAAGGTCTTTAGCCTACTTTTTAATTGGGTTGTCTGTGTTCTTATTATTGAGTTTTAAGTGTTTTTTGTATATTTTGGATCATTGTCCTTTATCAGATTTGTCTTTTACAATTATTTTCTCCCAAACGGTGCTTGTCTTTTCATTCTCTCTCTTTTTTTTTAAAGATTTTATTTATTTATCAGAGAGAGAGAGAGAGAGCACACAAGCAGGCAGAGTGGCAGGCAGAGGCAGAGAGAGAAGCAGGCTCCCTGCTGAGCAAGGAACCTGACTCGGGACTCGATCCCAGGACCCCGGGATCATGACCTGAGCCAGAAGGCAGCGGCTTAACTGACTAAGCCACCCAGACGTCCCGTCTTTTCATTCTCTTTATGGAGCAGAAGTTTTTCATTTTAATGAGATCTAGTATAACAGTTCTTTCTTTCCTGAATCACATCTTTGGCACTGTATCTAAAAAGTCCCTGCCAAGGGGTTGCCTGGGTGGCTCAGTGGGTTAAAACCTCTGCCTTCGGCTCAGGTCATGATCCTAGGGTCCTGGGATTGAGCCCCACATCGGGCTCTCTGCTCAGCGGGGAGCCTGCTTCCCCCGCTCTCTCTGCCTGCCTCTCTGCCTACTTGTGATCTCTGCCAAATAAATAAATAAAATCTTAAAAAAAATTTTTTTTAAGTTAAAAAAAATTAAAAAAAAAAGTCCCTGCCAAACCCAAGGTCATCTAGATTTTTTCTCTGTCTTTTAACACTGTTACATCTTTTTGTTTTATACGTAGGTCTGTGATCCACTTTGAGGGTTTTTTTTTTTTTTTTTTAATTCATTTGACAGAGATCACAAGCAGGCAGAGGGGCAGGCAGAGAGAGAGGGCGAAGCAGGCTCCCCACTGAGCAGACAGCCGGATGCGGGGCTTGATCCCAGGACTCTGGGATCATGACCTGAGCCGAAGGTAGAGGCTTTAACCCACTGAGCCACCCAGGCAGCCCCCCCCCCCAACTTTGAGTTTTTTGAAAGGTCTCTACCTACACTCATTTTTTTTTTTAAAGATTTTATTTATTTATTTGAGAGCGAGACAGTGAGAGAGAGCATGAGCGAGGAGAAGGTCAGAGGGAGAAGCAGACTCCCCATGGAGCTGGGAGCCCGATGTGGGACTCGATCCCGGGACCCCGGGATCATGACCTGAACTGAAGGCAGTCGTCCAACCAACTAAGCCACCCAGGCGTCCCTAGACTCATTTTTTTTTTTTTGCATGTGCATGTCCAGTTGTTGCAGCATCACTTGTTGAAACAGCTGCCTTTCTCAGAGATTCATTGACTATATATATATATATAAAACATATATAATATATCATATTTATATAGGTCTGTTTATATAGGTCTATATAGGTTATATAGGTCTGTTTCTGGGCTCTCTATTCCATTGATCTGTTTGTCTCGTCTTTGGCCAGTACTACACTGTCTTGATGACTATAGTGTTACAGTAAGTGTTGAAGTTAGGAATGCCAGTCTCCCACCTTTGTTCTGCGGTATTGAGTTGCCAGTTCTGGGTCTTTTACCTCTCCATAGAAACTTTAGAATCAGTTGGTCAGTATTCATAAAATCACTTGCTGGGATTTTTATTGGGATTGCCTTGAATCTATATTGGTCAGGTTTAGAAGAACTAACATCTTGGCAATATTTAGTCTTCTTATGGAATGTGGGATGTCTCCATTTTTTTAGTTCTTCACTGATTTCATTCATCTGAGATTACATTTTCCCTCATATAGATCTTGTATTTTGTTACATTTAAACCCAAGTATTTCATTTTGGGGGGTACTAATGTAAATGGTATTAAATTTCAAATTCCATTTTTTCTTTTTCTTTTTTTTTTTTAAGACTTTATTTATTTATTTGACAGAGATCACAAGTAGGCAGAGCAGCAGGCAGAGAGAGAGGGCGAGGCAGGCTCCCTGCTGAGCAGAGAGCCCAATGCGGGGCTCAATCCCAGGACCCCGAGATCATGACCTGAACTGAAGGCAGAGGCTTAACCCACTGTGCCACCCAGGCGCCCCCCAAATTCCATTTGTTCAATGCTAGTATATTGGAGTGATTGACTTTTACGTATTAATATTGTATCTTGCTAAAATTGCCTATTAGTTCTAGGAGTTTTTTGTCAATATTTTCAGATTTTCTACATAGACAGTCGTGTCATCTGTGAACAAAGACGGTTTTATGTCTTCCTTCCCTATCAGTATACCTTATTTCTTTGTTTTTGTTTTTGTTTCTGTTTTTTTTCTCATTGCATTAGCTTGGACTTCCAGTACAATGTTGAAAAGGAATGGTGAGAGGGGCTGTCCTTGTCTTGTTCCTGATCTTAGTGGGAAAACTTTTAATTTCTCACCATTAAGTGATATTAGCAGTGGGTTGTTTGTAGATATACTTTATCAAGTTCAGAACGTTCTGTTCATTTCTTAGTTTACTGAGAGTTTTTATCATGATTGGGTGCTAGATTGTGTCAATGTTTTTTCTGCAACTATTGATGTAATCTTGTGCTTTTTCTTCTTTATTAACCTGTTGATGTTGATGTATTACGTTAACTGATTTTCAAAAATCAAGTCAGCTTTGTGTACCTGGGATAAATCCCACTTGGTTGTGGTATGTAATTCTTCTAATACATTGCTGGATTCAATTTTCTAATATTTTGTTGAGGATTTTTATGTCTGTATGTTCATGAGAGATACTGGTCTGTAGTTTTCTTTTCCTGTAATGTCTTTGTCCCATTTTGCTATTAGGGCAATGCCAGCTTTTTAGAATGAGTGAGGAGACATTCCCTCTGCTTCTGTCTTCTGGAAGATATAATAAATAATTGGTTTAATGTCTTCCTTAAATGGTTGGTAGAATTCACCAGTGAACACATCTGGGCCTGGTGCTTTCTGTTTTGGAAGGTGGTTAATTATTTATTTAACTTCTTTGATAGATACAGGCCTATTCAGGTTGTCAATTTCTTCTTGTGTGACTTTGGGCATGTTGTGTCTCCAAGGAATTAGTCCGTCTCATCTAGGTTATCAGATTTGTGGGCTTAGAGTTGTTCATAGTATTCCCTTACTTGAAAGTAATTTGCAGAGTTTTTAGTAGTTTTTCTTGAATATTTCATCTTGCATTTCCTAAAGACAAGGATATTATGCGACTCCTGAGTGGCTCAGTTGGTTAAGCATCCAGCTCTTGATTTTGGCTCAGGTCATGATCTCAGGGTTGTGAGATCAAGCCCCTGCTTAAGATTCTCTGCACCCGCCCCAAGAAACAAACAAACCCCAAACCGAAGATATTCTACATAGCCACAGTACCATTATCACACTAAGAAAATTGACTTATTAATTCCCCTATTAACTTTTTTTTTTTTTTTTAGATTTTATTTATGCAAGAGAGAGAGAGCATGAGCAGGGTTAGGGGCTGAGGGAAAGGAAGAGGGAGAAACAGACTCTTTGCTGAGTGAGGAGCCCGATGTGGGGCTTGACCCCAGGACATTTAACCATCTGAGCTACCCAGACACCCCTCGTACTAATTTCTTGATAATGAACTTACTAACCACAAGGGGGAAAAAGTGGTCTGAGGGCCAATACCTTAACCAGATGATCAAATTTAGCAACACCAATATGAGAATCTGACATTATATGCCTTCTAATGTGATGCAGTAGTAAATACCTATCATCTACAGAGTGTTTATGTCAAAAATGTTCAACCCGAATCTAATATTGAGGACATACTCAGACAAATCCAACACGTAGGATGTGCTAGTCAGCTGACCTGGACTCTTTGGGGAATAAAAGGTCAGTGACATGAGTAAACAAAAATGGAGGAGGTGAGCTATTCCTAAATTAGAGAGGTTTAGGAGACAATACAGGTGAGCTGTTCCTAAATTAGAGAGGTTTAGGAGACATCACATGCAATGGATGAACTTTAATTGGAACCCAGATGTGAGGAGAAAGGCCATAGAAGACATGGGGGTGGCAGTTGGTTAAATCTTAATATGTGCTATATGTGATGACACCGAGTCCTTGTTACCAGGTAGAACTGTTAGAAGTTGTGGTGATTCCAATTCTGACTTGTTTTTTTTCTTTTGATGTTTTTATTCTTGTTTCACTGACCAAATGGGGCCATATAGCTTATAATATATTTTAATAAGAATCAAAGCTGTTTTCTCAACCATTCCCTTGTGGAGAGTTTTGCAGTGGATGTTTCCAGAAGACTGCACCTTGCTGTAAGTGCAGATATGTGGGTCACAGAGTGACCTTCTTTCTCTGTCAGACTCAGGACCTTTGCGTTGCTGACCACGAACTGGAGTTTTTAGGTTAGGGGCCAGAGACAGGACTAGAGTAATAAAGCCCTGTAGGAAGTACGAAAACCCTGCATGGAGGCGGACATTATTCCTCCCTCTGAGGGAGGCAGAACCAAGCATCCTGTGGATATTCGGAAACAGACTTCTAAAAATCTGTAGTAACTCTATGACAGTGTTCAGTCCTTTCCTTTGTAGTGAAAATGGACATGATAAGATTTTTGTTTCCTCAAGATTCCCTGTTTCCAGATCCCTTTCCACGTCATTTGTTCATTCCTTTTTTTATCATTCGGTAAATATTTATTAAGTGTCTGCTGTGTGCCAGGTACTGTGCTAAGTGAAGAGTATGGTGATAAGACTATATGAGTCACCTGGAGGTTTTTGTTTTTTTTTTTTTAAGATTTTATTTATTTGAGAGAGAGACAGTGAGAGAGAGCATGAGCGAGGAGAAGGTCAGAGGGAGAAGCAGACTCCCCATGGAGCTGGGAGCCCGATGCGGGACTCGATTCCGGGACTCCGGAATCATGACCTGAGCCGAAGGCAGTCGTGCAACCAACTGAGCCACCCAGGCGTCCCTCACCTGGAGTTTTTTTGTCTGTGTAGGGAAACCAACATTAAACAAGTCAATATTAAGTATTAAGTATTAAGTCAATACTCAGTTCTTCTGTAGTAAAGGCTGCAAAGGAAAGGTAGAGCAGCTCTGACAGAGAATAACAGGAAGACTGTCCCAGTGTTAGCTCAGCGTGTAGCTCTAAAGATGTCCGCCCTTCTGTCTCCAACTTCTGCCTCTGGTACACCCAGTCCCTGTCTGCCTGATTCCTTACCTTCTCTTCCCTCATTTTGGAGTGAGAACTGGCTTGAGTATCTGTGAGTCCTTCGGATATCCGTTTACAAAGCTAATTCATTACCGTGCTTAATTTAAAAGAAACGTTCTTCTCTATTACCTATTACTCTATCTGCCTATTTTTCAAGAGAGGCTGGAAATCTAGATTTTTTTATGCGAAATCTCCTGACTCATAAATGTTAACGAATTCAAAAATTTTCATATACTTTGTGCACTCCAGTTGCAGTATCTGCTTGAGGGGACAGAAGTTCAGGTACAGGAGTATTCTGGGTCAAAAGATTAGGCAAGGGGCGCCTGGGTGGCTCAGTGGGTTGAAGCCCCTGCTTTCGGCTCAGGTCATGATCCCAGGGTTTTGGGATCGTGCCCCGCGTTGGGCTCTCTGCTCAGCAGGGAGCCTGCTTCCGCCTCTCTCTCTCTGCCTGCCTCTCAGCCTACTTGTGATCTCTGTCTATCAAATAAATAAATAAAATTTAAAAAAAAAAAGATTAGGCAAAATTCCCTTCCTCTTGTCTAGTCCTAAGTAAAAAAAATAAAGTTACTGAATAAGAGATTCAGAATACTAAGGAAAGAAACCAAAAGAGGGTTTTATTTATTTATTTTTTTTAAAGATTTTATTTATTTGACAGACAGATCACAAGTAGGCAGAGAGGCAGCCAGAGAGAGAGGAGGAAGCAGGCTCCCTGCTTAGCAGAGAGCCCGATGTTGGGCTCGATCCCAGGCCCCTGGGATCATGACCTGAGCCGAAGGCTTTAATGCACTGAGCCACCCAGGCGCCCCAAAAGAGGGTTTCAAAAACCAGGTCCTTTTTATGCTTTCCTCAGGATAATAATTAAGTAAGAAGTAAAGATTACATTCACTGATTCCTTAGCTCTCTGCTGGGGTTTCTTTCCTGCCTTCATTAAAAAAAAAAAAAAAAAAAAAAAAAAAATCCAAACAGTAAGGTTCCCTGTGTTCAGAGGAGCAGACAAAGGCAAATTGTCCATGGTTAGCCTCCAAAACCCCAGAGGTCCATGTTTCCCTGGAGGGAACATGATGTGCCCTCCTTTCTCCTCCCCCTTTCTTTAGGTAGCAGATTTCTCGAAATGTAATTGATATATGCTATTGCCCACCCATTGAAAGTATACAATCACACGTTTCTTAGTGTATTCAGGGTGTGCAGACATTGCTACAGTGAATTTTCGAACATTTTCCTTATTTTAGAAAGGAACCCTGTACCCATGTGCAGTCACGCTCCCCTTTCCCCCAACCTCTCCTAGCCCTAGGCAGCCACTAATCTACTTTCTATCACAATAGATTTGCCCATTTGGGACATTTCATATAAATGGAATCATACAGTATGTGGTCTTTTGTGACCGGCTTTCACTTCGTATGATGTTATAAGATTCATCCGTGTTGAAGCATGGAACAATACTTTATTCCTTTTTACGGTGAAATGATACTCCACTATGTGGATATTCCGCATTTTGTTCATCCATTTATCAGTTAATGGGCATTTAGGTTGCTTCCACTTCTTGGTTATCGTGAATAATAGCTTGTGAACACTGATGCTCAGGTGTTTGTGTGGATATAAAATTCTCTTGGCTGCTGAGTCATACAGTAACTCTATTTAACCTACTGAGGGGGCGTCCAGCTGACTCAGCGGAAAGTACCCTGCGACTTGATTTCAGGGTCGTGAGTTCGAGCCCTGCATTGGGTGTAGAGATTACTTACATAAATAAATAAAAACTTAAAAAACAAAACAAAACAAAAACCTACTGAGGAAATCCCAGACTCTTTTCCAGAGCTACTTCACCATTTTACATTCTTACCCGTGATGTATTCCATTTCTCCCCTACCCTCCACTCTTAGTACTTAAGATGAACGATGCGATGGCAACAAGCTATTCGCTTTTCTCTTCTCAGCTGAGGTACTACACAGTGCCTATCCTCCCTTTTTAAATAGATATATATTATGATGTCATAGATACATAAAATTTCTGATGAAAAAATGTAAAGACTTGGTTGAGCAACCTTTTATTTTATTCTCTCCCTTTGCCTTAACTAAGTTATCTTTGGAGAACAGAATGGCACCATACTCTTTTAATTAATTAATTAATTTTAAAGATTTTATTTTTTAAAATAATCTCCACACCCAACACGGGACTTGAACTCATGAACCCAAGATCAGGAGTCACACACTCCACTCACTGAGCCAGCCAGGCACCCCAAGTACCATACTCTATCTATTTTTTAAAATTTATTTATTTACTGTCCAAGAGAGTATTTTAGGCAGACTCCCTGCTGAGCAGGGAGCCCAGCTTGGCACTCTGTCCCATGACCCTGAGATCATGACCTGAGCTGAAATTAAGAGGCAGATGCTCAACCGACTGAGCTACCCAGGAGCCCCAGTACTATAGTACTATGGTCTTTTAATGACAGCCTACCAAGTACATGCTTTTTTTCCAGGTAAAGCGTAGAATGTCATATGGCAAATGACTTAAGAGTCTGATCCTATCTGGGGGCCTCTGGCATATGTGAATAGTGAAGGCCCTGTTCTCACAGAAATGTGTCTCTTTTTTTATTATTTGGATTTCTAAAAAGTTAGATTTTATTTTATTTTATTTATTTATTTTTTAAAGATTTTATTTATTTATTTGACAGAAATCATAAGTAGGCAGAGAGGCAGGCAGAGAGAGAGGAGGAAGGAGGAAGCAGGCTCCCTGCTGAGCAGAGAGCCCGATGCGGGGCTCGATCCCACCTTGAGATCATAACCTGAGCCGAAGGCAGAGGCCTTAACCCACCGAGCCACCCAGGCGCCCCTTAGATTTGATTTTAAAGCAAATCCTAGACATTATGTCATTTTATCCATAAATACTTAAGTAAACATCTCTAAGAGAAGAACTTTTTAAAATAGAGCCGTCATACTATTACCTCACATTAACCTAATTCCCTAATATCTTCTGACTCGTGATCCATGCTCAGATGTCTGTAATTATCTTAGAGATGCCTTTTCATAGTTGTTGTTTTAATCTGGGTCCAAATAAGGTCCACACATTTGGTTGTTTTGTCTTTTAATGATCTTTATTCTAAACTGATTATTTATCCACATATGATTTATCAAAAATAATCACAAAATAACATAAGACAGTATCTAGTAAGGCGTTAAGTAAGTAGGATGTGGTCAAGTATGAGTCACCTAGATTTCGAATAGACTTCATTGGCTCTGTTGGTAGAGACGTGACAAATAGGTCAGAGAACCAGAGCAGCTAGATTAGAAGCCCCATTCCTACCGCTGTAGGCTGTGTAATCCTGTGCAAGTTAATTCAGGGTTTGTTCTTAGTGAAGTTGTACCTGTGCGTGGTACAGAAAAAACAGTTCTACAAGGCTTGTTACCCACAAAAATGAACAAGAAAAAAAGCACTCCCCCCGTTACCGCTACTACTTGATTTCCTACCTTTAGGAGACATCCAATTTCAACTCTTCCAAGTAATTTGTTTGGTATTTACCTCCAGATCTCTAAATAACATACTTCTACTGCCAGTTGTTAATATTTCAATTTCGGGTATTACCTGTTGACATTCTACTGTGGAAGGTGGAGATTAAGTACTCCGTCGCCCTCACTGCTTCCTCACCACAGACAGGAAGTCCGTCCTCCCATTCTTCCACATTCAGTCCATATACCGTGACCATGAAATGCTCTTCATAGATGACAACATTACTGTTTTTTCACTGCACATTTTGTTTTTCCTGAAGTCAATTAACAGTCTTGCCTTCTGTTTTGCCAGTTTTCTGTGAATTTATACTAATTCAATCCCAAACTCTTCCTCAGTTGTATGGATCTGTTCTCCAGACATTCAGATGTGTCAGGTGGTCTGTCAGTTTCATTTCTTGAATAAAATCTCTCTAGAGGAGCCTTCTCACGGGCATGGCTCTGGACTGTTTGCTCTTGACCCCTGCTGCAGGGCTGTGGTCTGGGAGTCACCTCTACCATCATCCTCTTCTGGTATCTCTTGTTTTCTCAATCCCATGTTTTTGTTTTTATTGTTTTCATTTTCTTCTTCATTTAATGGAACACATCCTCTAATAATTTCCTGAGAAAGGATGCCTGAGAGGCACATTTTTCAGACCTTGCCTGTATGGAAGTGTCTTTATTCTAAACTCATACTTAATTGACAGTCACGCCGGATGTAGAATTCTTGGTTAGAAATTGTTTTCCCTCAGGGGCGCCCATGTGGCTCTGTCCGTTAAGCATCTGGCTTCTGCTCAGATCGTGATCTCGGGGTCTTGGAATTGAACTCCAGGTCAGACTGCACTCAGTGGGGGAGTCTGCCTGACCCTCTCCTTGTCCCTCTCCCTCTGCCCCTCCTGCTACTCATGCTCGCTCTCAAATAAAATCTAAACTATATATATATTTTAGATTAAAAATATATATAATATTATAAATATAATATTATATTATATATATTATATATATATATATTTATTTTTCCCCTTAGTATTTTGAAGATATTGCCCCACTGCATTCTAGGCTTTCAGTGTTCCTGTTGAGGGGTCTTATGTCATTCTGATTTATTTATTATTTGCATAAAACCTGTTGTCCTCTGGAAATTTGAGTGTTCTGAAATTACATAATGCTGTACCTTGGTGGAGGGTTATTTTCATATTTTTCTATATGCTCAGAGGTCCCTTCAAGCTAAAAAGAAACTCAAGCCCTTTAATTATGGAGAACTTTATTGAATCATTTCTTTGACTGTTTTCTCCCTTCATTTTTTTTCTTATTTTCTCTTTCTAGAATGCCTATATTCAGATGTCATGTCTCCTAGACTGGTCCTCTGATTTATTAAAATTTTTTAAGGTTTTATTTATTTATTTGACAAAGAGAGATCACAAGGAGGCAGAGAAGCAGGCAGAGAGAGAGGGAGGAAGCAGGCTCCACGCTGAGCAGAGAGCCCGATGTGGGGCTCGATCCCAGGACCCTGAGATCATGACCTGAGCCGAAGGCAGAGGCTTAACCTACTGAGCCACCCAGGCGTCCCCTGGTCCTCTGATTTAAAAAGAGTATTTTTCTCGCCTGTTTTCCATCTGTCTTTTGCTTTACATTCTGAGAGATTTCCTCAACTTATTTTCCAATCTTTTTCATTTCTCCTATCATGTCTTAATTTTCAAGAGTTATTTTCTTTTTATTAAATGTATGTTTTTGAAAAATTGACGTTTTACTTGTTTCGTGAAGTTTCTTCTCTCTGGGGAATTTGATGATTTTTTTCCCCCCAAGTTTTCATCTTTATGTGTATTTTCTGTTTTTCCACATTGCATTTATTTTCCAGTTGTTTTGGTCTCTGTCTTTACACTGGATACTTTTTTCTAATGCCTTGTGATCTCAGCCCATCCTTAAGAGTGTCGTGTCTTGTATTTAGTATTGTTTGCCCTCCCAATTCAGTGGTACCTGGGGCGCTCAATGGTTGAGCCTTTGGGGAGTTCTCTGGGGGCATTTCAGGTTGTATGTCAGCTTTCCCCACTACTAGTATAGGATTTAGCTTTGTGGGGGGTTTGCTGAGCCACAGCCTCCTGTTCACCTGCTTTCCAGCTTCAGAACCTTTACTGCTGGTGTCCCGTCTCCTGTTTTCTTGGTCTTTGCGTCCTTCTGCTTTCCAACAGTCTTCGATGTCACCCAGAGGGGTTTGGAAGGGAGTGCAGGTATGTATGTGCGTGCTTGAAATCAGAGCGCAGCAAACGAGAGCTCCTGTACCGGATCCAGCCCTTTCCTCTCTTGAGGGCACCAGACTAAAGCTTTTCTGCGTGTGCGGTTCCAGACCTCATCCAGCGCCTCGCTCCGTTTCCGCGCATGCCTAGTTCTGTGGCTTCTGTTGCGCACGTGGGTTTGTAAGCAGAGCCACCCTCCTGCCCCGCCCCCCTGCCCCGCCCCTCCCATCCCCCAAGAGGGCAGCGCGTAGTAGAATTCCAGCAACTCCCAGACTGCCTGGTCTCCCTGTGGGTGCTGATGCCCCAGGGGGTGGCCCTCCCCTGATCCTCAGCCAAGTGCCTTTTGTCTCCTGGATGATACAGCGCGCACTTTCTCAGTGTCATGGTGACTCACTTTTTAAAAATAGTCTTTGATGTGTCAAAGCCTTTTCTGAAAGTCTACACAGATTGTATTGACGAGTTCCCTTTTAGTCACATGCATTTTTACCTCCTGAAAGGAACCCTAATATATTAATTAGGTATGATTTTAGCTTCCTGAAACCACACACCCCTCACTTTCCACGCTTCAGTGCGTCTCCTAAGCTGTTCCCACCCTGCCAGCACAGCCTGTCCTATAAGGTCATCTCAAGCTAGGTCAACACCACCGCCTCCCTGGTTTACTAGGTTCTCCCAGCAAAAACTCTCTCTTGCATCTGAACCATAGCAACTTCTCTGTATTCTCCTCCTGGTGGATAGTTCATAAACTCTCCCATGGCGGGGACATATCTAATCTTTTCCTGCAGTCTTTTGAGCTTAGTAAGAACCCATTACATAGGTTCAGTAGGTTAAATTAATTAAACAAATCTAGGCACCTGGGTGCCTCAGTCGGTTAAGCATCTGCCTTTGGCTAAGGTCATGATCCCGGAGGCCCCGGCATCAAGTCCCCCATCAGCCTCCTTGCTCAGTGGGGAGTCTGCTTCTCCTTCTCCCTCTGACCCTCTGCCTGGCTTGTGCTCTCACTTGCTCTCTCTCAAGTAAATAAATAAAATTTTTTAAAAAAGAAACCAAAAAACACACAAAAAAGAAGTAAATCTAAGAAACTTCTTGAAATAAGTCTACTGTGTTTACTGTATTGATTCAGAGCTGAGTCTGCCCTCTGATCATTGTATGGAAAAGGTTCCCACTGAGGTTACAGATGTCTTCCCAGTGAATAATTCTGCTGTATCTTTTCATCCATCAGCTTCTTCCACCTCTTGCCACATTTCCGTATTCCTTCTTGTAACCCGTTCTCACATCCTCTGGCTCCCTCTGTCCTGCTAGTCCTGTCTCTTTGATTATTTCACTGATTCTCTTCCATATATCACATGCCCCTAAATTAATGGTTGTACTTTGTTTTCTGTCCTCAGGCCTTTTTTCTCTGTATCTTCAGGAATCTCATTTACTCAGGTTTTGTTTGTTTGGGATAGGGGAGAGAGGGAAGAAATTGAGGGACCAAGACTAGGGGTTAGAACCCTCCCCTGAGGATCTAGGCAGTGGAGAATCTAGAACAAGAAACAGCCACGTGGCCATTAAAATATCAGTTCTGCTAACAGACCAATCAAACCCTCAAGTTGAGGCTCTTCTGTAAAGCTAGATTAGAGGCCACATCTTAGGCCCAAGGTTCAAGTGGGGCCTTCTGCTTCTCCTGTGATTCATACCCTGTGGGGTGAGTTGTCCTTGGAGCAGGTCCAGCCTGGTGTTAGATCCACATGTTATACCCCGTCATGGGGAAGGCAGAGAGGGTTCTAGTGTATTAAAGGGTGAGGACTAGAAGGTAGAGGAAGTGAGCCCACTCAGACTATAGATGGCATATGTGATTGCATATATGATATATATATATGGCATATATGGCATATATGATAGCAAAAGGACATGGAAAGTTGAATCTCAGTTACAGGATAAGCCTCAGAGGAACCGAGGAAAAGCTGAACCCTGAGGTCGAGGGGAAACGTGGTCTAGTTGAATGCCACAGACACCGGCACTGGAAGAACATTCTGGATTTAAGACAGCTCTTCAAGATGTCTTGTTGCCCTCAGGGGCAGGGTTGTGGCTTTCACTCTGATCTCTGCCTTGAAGGTGGACGCTCGGACCCAGCATCAAGTCTGGCCCATGGCCTCCCAGTCTTGGCTTCTTTCTCTGCTTGTGTCTGCCCAGCTCTCTATACTTCCCGGTTCAGGTCGCCCGAAGGTAGACTCTGTGTGCCTCATAGATGGGTTTTGATCAGAGTTGGGTACCCACTGTGGTCCAGTCGTCAGTGGCCAGAGGAGAGGCAGGATCATGGGGTTCACATGAAGGGCACTCCCGATCAGGCAGCAGTTGCCGTCTAGTTTCCCAAGTCCCAATGTACATATAATCCTCCTCCTTCCTTATCTCTGACCCTCATCACCAGTCACTCGTCCTGGAAGGTTTCCCTTCTGAACATCTCTAGCATCCATCCCTTTTCTCTTCCTGTTGCCACTGTTTTGGTTCAGGCTGCTGTGTTCTCTCCTCTAAAATGAGCATTCTCCTCCTTATCGATCTCCCTGCCTTCAGTCTCTCTGCCCTCATCTGTCTTTTACTCCCTTGCCAGAATAGTCAATTTTGTTCCCACATAGCAGTCAAAGTTTATATTTAAAAAATAAATCAGATCATGTTGCTCTCCTGGTTGAAGCTGTTGAAATACAATCAGACTCTTTCTATGGCCTCCTACGTAGGGCCTCCCAAGGATCTGGTTCCTGTCATCCTCTCTGACCTCATTTCACACCCTCCTTGTGTTTTCTGTGCTCTGCGTTCCAGCAACACTGGCATTCTCTGGTCCTTTTTTTTTTTTTTTTAAGATTTTATTTGTT